ATTTCTCTTAAGATTGGCTTGTAATTGTCTTACATTGATTTAAAAAAAACAGAGATGAATTTAAATTATCATTTGCTTCAAATGAAGGGCAAAAATGGAAGGGTTGATGGTACAAACAAAGGTTTAATAAAGAGAAGTAGTGAGAGAATTGAGCCATCACATGATAAACGTATTAAAAGCATGTTTTATCTCAAAATAATCTATGCTGTAGCAAATATTTCAATATATATTGAAATGTTTCAATTTCAAGAAAACACTGTTCACATTACTATAATTTGAAGCTTACTTATTTTATGCTTTTGTTCATATTTATTTTGCAAATGTTTTGGTTTATAGATGTATATGAGCTTAAGCCTAAGAATTTTCTATTTAGCGTTATGTTTAGAACTTTGTAATTTTTGTAGGTTTAAGTAATATTAGGATCAAAATAATTGAGAAACTTTGAAATTATTTTTCAAATAATTGAAAAATTATTTCTGTGTGGAAACACTATTCTAGGATATTTCTATTACATTTCTGAATGTATCATACAGTGTTTTAAAAATATTTAGCCAATATTTAAAATTGGTTTGCATTCCATGGCTATGCATCATCTTTTTAATTTGCTGTGAGGCCAGGGAAAATCTGAAAAGTATTAAAATCTCATCATGGATGACCATGAGTTGACTATGTTTAATATCACTGCAGATAAAAAGAGCTTTCTTGAACTATTCAAATTTGGCAATGTCAAGTTTTGTGAGGGGTTTTCTCCCAATCTCTATTGTCTTTAAAAAAATTTCCATACACGGCATAAACATTAAGCAAAGCATGGTTTCAACTACCATCTATAGGTCAATGACTCCAGATCTTTATTTCTAGACCCATTTGCTCACTTGAATTCCAGATGCACACTTCCAGTACTCTACTAGACATTTTTACCTGAATGTTCAGCAAGTATTTCAAAATCATTCAACCCCAAATTCAATTCTTATATTCTTTTTTTTGTGTGTGAGCAGGATCAGCCCTGAGCTAACATCCGATGCCAATCCTCCTCTCTCTCTCTCTTTTTTTTTTTTTTTGCTGAGGAAGATTGGCCCTGCGCTAACATCTGTGCCCATCTTCCTCTACTTTATATGGGATGCCACCACAGCATGGCTTGACAAGTGGTGCATTGGTGCGTGCCTGGAATCCGAACCTGCAAACCCAGGGCTGCCGAAGTGGAGTGCATGCACTTAACCACTGAGCCGCCGGCCCGGCCCCTCAATTCTTATATTCTTGTTCTAGATCAATGATGTTACTTCCACTCAGTCTCTCAAACTCGAAACTCTGAAGTCATCTTCCACTTTCTTTTCGACTTCCACTTTCTTTTCATCACCCTCACCCTCACATCACCCTCACATCAGCAGTCAGCAAGTCCTACCAATTCTCCTTGCGCCCTTGCCATTGCCTTAGTTCAGGCTTGCACCATCTCTCAGCTGACGATTGTAATAGCTGCCTACATAGATTCCCTGCCACCAGTTACCTTCAATGCCAATCTAGCTTAAAATAGGAAGAACAAATCTGATCTCACTGAGAGTTCTCAGTTGACTTGCTTCTACTTACGTGAGCTGACCTAGCTTCATTTACTGAGACTTCTTACAAGGCTGTGAATTTAGTGAAGGCAAGGGCTCTGTCTCCTTCATTTTTCTGTCTCAGTGTTTAACAAAGTTCCTAGCATGCAACTAGCATGTATGTGCACGCTACATGTTGTTGCATGTTGATGGGGCACTAGTGAGTGACTAAGGGCACAGCCTTTGGAATTGGACAGATCTAGGTTTAATTTCTGCCTCCTCTGCCACTTACTTAGTTGCTATGTGACCCTGGGCAAATTAACTTTAAGATAGTGATTCTCAACTCTGGCTTCACATTAGGATTACACAAGGAATTTATTGAAAGGGCCCAGGTCCCCTCCTCAGCCCAATTAAATCAGAATGTATGGACAGCGGGGGCTCAGGCACTAAAAATTTTAACAGATCCATGGATGATGCTAATATGCAGCAAGGGTTGAGAATCACTGCTCTTGGCCTTAATTTCTCATCTACCGTACAGTATCTATCTTAAAGGGGTTTTGAGCATGTGAAATGAAACTGAACTTAGCATAGTGCCTGGCACATAGTAAGTGCTCAACCATAGTGTTAATACACAACCACAATTTGTAACGCTCTTCCTTCTCAATCACTAGCCCCCAGCTACTCTGCCTTCCTTTCAATTCCTAGAATGTACCAAGATCTTCAGCTTTAGTGCCTTCACACAGGCTCTTCACTCTGCTCTTAGCAGATCCCTCTCCATTTTCAAGTGACACTTGCAGTCATACATGATCTCCAGGTGTGCCCCTTTATTTTCCATCACAGTATGGAGATGGTCATCGTCTTCGTAGCACTTGTCTCAATTTCAAATTATATACTAATTTAACTATTTACTGTGTCTTTCTGCAACTAGACTGCAAGCTTCACAAAAGCAGGAACCTGTCTGTTTTGCTTTCCTCTTGAGGTTCAGTGCCCAGTGCCTGGGATGAACTAGATGTTCAGGTGACAGTTGTTGAGGGATGAATGGCTTAACAAACCATCTACCCTGTAATCTCAAAAAGGCAAAATTCTTTGACTTTTTGTGTCCCTCAACTCTATGTATCCTCACATCAAATACCACAACGAAAAACAAAACCAAAGCCCCCAAACTAGGATTGTCTCTAGTGTTTTGGGTTCTAGCTACTGACTAGGAAATTGCAATACTTTTTTTTCCTGATGTTTTTAATTTGGTTAAAGCTTCCAAGTCCAAGGTTCTTCGAGGCTTACTAAAGGCTTAGTCATCAACCCGTGGGCAATAATTAATGTTAGTCTAACAACATCTCACTTCAACCAGGCAAATAAACTTTTGTGGGTGTTTGTATTAGCTAAGTAAAGACTTTTTTGTTTTCTAGTTTACCTTTTGACCCATTCAGTTGGGAGACCATACACTATCTAAGGTTAATATAAAAAACTTTCTGAAGTCACAGAAGTATCAATTCAATTGTATCAATACAAAAGTATCAATACTTTTGCCCATGAAAAGGACCTTACAAATAATCTAGACCGAGCTCTCATTTTACAAACGAGAAAAAAAGCCTAGAAAGATGAATTTATTGGACATGATTATGCACTTGCTGTCACAGCACCAGGTTTCAAGAGTCCTTCACCCGTGTTCTATCAGCCATATTACACCACCAGCAGAGTAACCCAAAGTTATTCCAATTTCTCAAAGTTCTTAATCAATTTATAGTCTGGCATCAATTAATTTGAGATTTTAATGTTTCCATGATAATATTTAGTCCCAAGTCATAAGCTTGACTTTCAGGTCTCCTATGTCTCACCATACATCCTTCCATACTCCAGGCTCTACAATCTATTTCATGTTTTTCCAACTCTGAGCTCCCACCAGAATGCACAGCCTCATCCTATCTGCCTATTTACCCTCGATGCCTACTGAAAGACTACATCTTCCATGAAAATTGTCCTCAAACCTAATCAGATGACGACAATGGCTCTCTGTATTTCTCCTAAGGATTCTGTATTCTTCCTTGTACTGCAGTAGGAACGACTGCATGGGATGTGAGAAACTTAGGAACTGGTGCCACATGGTTCTTGCTTTTTAGGTCTTGTCCCTCCTTCCAATCAATAAATATTTAAACTAAAATAAATGTCTCTCTAGGCTAAAATTTTCCATATAGATTTTCTTGAAGACAATTTCTAAGTGTTTGAAAAAGCTGGGTTAGAGGAGGCATGACCTGGATGAACAGGACTCATGTTGCTTTAAAGAGAGCCATGATATCAGGACATTTGAAGTTACTGTCTCTTTTATGGGTGCTTTTCTCTTTTTCTAAAATTCCTCATCCATTCAGTATAAGCAGCCCAGATCTTTTTTTACTGGTAGTGTAAAAACTCACGAGAAATTTAAGAGCTACAGGAGACATTAGAGAAAACAAGAAAGGTCATATAAATACTTGCCTAGACGCATTTTGTTGCAAATTTAATTTCTCCTTCAATTTTCAGAAATAAATGTACCCGTAAACAGGTCAGAAACATAAAAATCCATCTTATCAAAGTTTACCAGTTTAAAGTAAAAAAATACAAAGGCATTTCACCAACTCAAACACTTTTGCAAAGCTCTGAAGCAATCATTCTAGGCTCAAATTTCATCCAAAACTTTCCTCAAGACCACTGCAATCTGACCACGTCCATATTAGAGTACTATTTCTGACCAATAAGGGGTTATAATTTTCTCCACTTTGTTTGTATTTGTATTTTCTTTACTTTGCTGTAAACCTCTACAGGTCTTCGTATGAAAACAACTGTCCCCAAACCGCTTGAGCTGGTCGAACTTGGGGAACGATTATCAATGAAAACAGCACAAAGCGCTGTCGGACGGAGATGAGAGAAATATCAGTTATGCTCTTCTCCCCAAATAAGTTTTGCTTAGTAGGGAAAGAAAAAGGTGAAGCGTAAAGCCCGGCAACACCCCCGAGAAACGGCGAGTCAGCCTCTTTAGCGGAAGAAGCGGCGGTCTGCGAGCCGGCACCCTCAGTCCAGCTCCGCGGCGAGGCAGCCGCTGAGGGCCGCACCGCCGGCAGTGTGCGCGTGTGTCAGTGCGCGATTCCCTGACACCGCCCACAGGGTCCGGGCACTCGTCACAGCCCACGGCTGCCTGGTCAGCAAACAACAGCTGATGCGGCACACCACCTAGACGGTCCACGCCTACCGCCAGCCGCGAACACCGCGGAGACCGGAAGCCCTTTTGCCCCGGCTAGCGGGCCTATCAAGTAGTGCCGGTAGGAACCGGAAGCTCCTCTGCCCCGATCATTCGAGCGCGTCCGCGTCGGCGGCACAGGCGCAGTGGAGCTCGGGCGCAGTGGTGGGAGGGGAGGAGGAAGCGGCCGAGGGGGGCGGGACAGGTCTCAGAAGATGGCGGAGGAGGGGGTGAGTTGTGGTCCCCCGGAGAAGCGCTGGTCACTTGGTGCTGAGGAAAGCGGGCTCAGGAAGGGGGTGGCCCTCGGGAAGAGGCACTCCTTGTGTTTTTGCAGCCTAGGAACCTTGCTGGCAAGTGCGGGGAGCCCGGACCACAGATGGGGCCTGAAGCGCGAGGGGCTCCGCTTACCTGGAGAAGGGTGGGCGAGGTCCAGAAGGGGACGGTGGGGTCTGGGAGAGGTCATAGGAGAGTCCGAGGCTCCCCGAACAGTGGAAGAGTGTCCGAGCGGAAAGAAGGCTAGAGACGGGAGCGAAGGGCGACCCTGGGGTGGAGGGATCTGTTGAGGGTGGGGGTCGGCGAGCTGTCAAGCATAGAGCCGTCAGGACTTGGGAGGTTGTAGCCGGGGAGACTCAGGCTTGGGAGGGGGATGGATCCAAAAAGGTAAGTATTGTAGTAAGTTTAGAATCCGCAAAAAGGTATGTTGATATTGGGTTGAGGAGGGGGACCTTGGCATTTTGGATTGGAATTGGAAACCTTTGGAGTAGGTGTGAGTAAAGCCAAAGAGAACTCTTACCAGGACCTAAATAAAGGTCGGTTGATGATGGTTACTGGGATTTTAGGGTTGGTCAGTGGGGATTGGCAATTTGGAAAAGGAAGGCAGTGTGGATGATGGGGGGCAGGGGGCAGGGTGCTGATACTTAAGTGATAATGACTCATGCCCAGATAGTATTGGAAAAAAGTTGTTAAAGTATGGTGTTAGCTAGATAGTCTAGGAAGATAGACCTACCATGAAGAGCTTACTATTGTAGGATTGATGAGGAAATGCTTTATGAAGGGATGAACAGACTTAACAGCTGGGTCACTGCAACTGGCCCAGATCAGTATTGCAGTGGAGCTGAGGATTGCGGGGGAAGACATACTCCCGTCTTGGGTGTATGAAGAATGGAGGCAGCCAAGCAGTGGCTAGATTTTGTTTTCCAGTTTTGGGGTTTGGCCCTGATAGGGAACCACTGAGTGAAAATGAATGAAGGGATGGCCCACTAATAGGGGCCCCACAGAAGAAAATTAACCGTGTACTCTTCCTCTTTCCCCCATTTCGTTCTTTTTCTGGACAATATGTTGTGTAGTGTGTTTTGTTATAGTTCTCAGTACATATCTGATATCAAGTGACTGAGCTGTGTATCATATACATTTGGGAAAGAGATTGCATCTTTTTCAACTGACAACTTTTCTTTTTACCTACGGTGGGCTGAAAAGGAAAGGATAAAATGCAGTTCAGTAATTTAAAGACAACTTGTTTTCATTGTTACCAGAAAATATTCCCGAATGACAGAGTAACCCTTTTAGGGACTGAGATTTGACATTTAAGAGCAGTAATGGGATGTGAATGCTACTTGGTTAATGGTTTCTGTGTTTGGGTTTTCATCTTGAGAGGAAAGATGAGTTGCAGTGTCAAAGCAACATGTTTTTCTTCCTAGAAGTTTTTAGTGCTTATAGCCTATGATTCACCTTTGTGTGCTTTTATTTAAGGAGAGTTAAACTTTTTCATTGATTTAAGTGTGTTTTTCGTAATGTTAATGCTTATTCTCTTTCGAGAATGCTGTTCTAATTAAGAGAGCATATGTGAAAAAGATGTGAGGTAGTCATTTAATTTTGTATTATTTGGTAGCCTATCTGACCTAAGCACCTGAAGAGACAGGGTAATCTGAGGGAGCGAACGTAATTCTGTGACTGCTAATCTTTGGAAGATGAATGATCTTGTTTGGTTTTAGGGGGTGTTGCAATTGTTAAAATACAACCGGTTCTTCGGGTTACTTTCGAATGCCTATTTCCTGGAAGTTATTTTAGTGGCAGACATAAACTTTGATTTTCATTCACAAAGCCCAGAATCACTTATTTATCTAAAAGTAAAAATATCATAATATCAGCCCATTAACAGGTAGTTATATATCAGGAATAATGTTTTTCCAGTTTTGATGATTCATTATTAATCTATCCAAACTATTTGAACTATTTTTCTTTTTGTTCCGTAATGTACTTAATAGAAATTGTAGGTCATGGCTCAAGGAAGAGTTTTTCATGTACTGTGCAAGTTTTTTCTTTGTCAGTTTTTCAAAAAAAAGGCATTATTTTGGTATTAACAATAGTTTATCAACATGACTTTAGAAACTGTTTCTTGTGTGACACTAAGATTGCTTTTGTGTGGTGGTAGATGGAGGCGATGTGGTGACGTGGAAAGAACTCTGCACTTGGAGTCAGAGTGCTTGGGCTAGTCCTGGTGCTACCTGGTACCAGTTTTGTGATCTCAGGAAGTTATCTAGCCTATTTTATTTTGTAAAATGAGATTATAAACACCTACTTACCAGTATTATTACTGAGAATATTGAGATACTGCCCTCTAAACAGTATCTTTATTCCAGAGACTTATTCCCTCATCAGCAAATTATTTCTCGAGAAATCTAAATTTTTCAAATATAGATTTTTTCAAAATTTTGGAGAATCAAATTTATCATTGATGTAAGTATAATATTTGAAGGTATAGGTACACTTTGTTTTAAGGAAATAATATCAGTACATAATCAGAAAACCAAACTTTAAAACTAACAAATTAGAGGATACTTATTCCAAGAGCTTTCACTTTAAAATAACCCACTCCCCTAGTGTGTATGACTAATATTATAAACAACATGCTTTTTTAGGAACTTAACTGTCGCATAGTAGGGAGTGAAGGGTCTTGTGGAATTTCTTAACCCTTTGATGAGTCTGGTCATTTCCAGGAGTTGACTTTATGTTTGTGGTAGCAAGATCCAGTACAGTCTTGATCTTGTTGCTTCACTTGACCAGTTTGGGTCTCATTTGCTTTGCTGGTAAAGTGTGAGAAATGTTAGATCACTGGTTCTTAACTTCTTTTGCATCATGGACTGTTTTTGAGTGATCATGGACTGACTTGATATAAATTGTGGAGCTCTCCAGAAAAATGCACATATACACAATTCTTTGCCTTTGTTTTATGTCAGGCTCACGTACTGCTTGGAGTAGATGATCTCCCAGTTCCTTTCCATTTCTTAAATATTAGGATACTGTGATTCAAAACATTTTAACTTTTATTTTTAAATTTTTTTTCACTAAAACTTTTTAACTTTTATTTTTTATTTTTGTGTCCAGTAGTTATATACTGTTGTTTTATTACGGACAGTCATCCTTTGGTATCCGAGGGTGATTGGTTCCAGGACCCCCGTGGATACCAAGATCCATGGATGTTCAAGTCTCTCATATAAAATGGCTAGTATTTGTATATAACTTACGCACATCCTCCCGTATACTTTAAATCATCTCTAGATTACTTATAATAACTAATACAAGTGCTATGTAAATAGTTGTTATACTGTGTTATTTAGCGAATAATGATAAGAAAAAAGTCTGTACATGTTCGGTACAGATCAACCATTGTAGGCCTTTCCATCTGCAGGTGCTTGCGTCTGTGGATGTGGAACCTGCAGATACGGAGGGCCAGCTGTAGTTACAAAATTAGCTTTTTGGACTTTTAAAATATTAGCTTTTTTGTTTTATCTCATTCAAATAAACATTAAACAAATGTGTTGTTTTTAGAGAAAACTTTTGGGATGAAGGAGGAAACTATAAACAAGCATTGCCAGGAAAGGTTGAATAAACTGCTGTGGCAGAATAACATAAACAGTTTAGAAAGTCTCCAGCAGCCCTGAAATAGAAAGAGTCTACAGCAATCAGTGGCTCTCTGTGGGAGGGCATTTCCTCTCTGGGGGCATTTGGAAATACGTAGGGACATTTTTGGTTGTCTCAGATGGGGGAGGGGGCATGCACTGGCATTTAGTGGGCCTGAGCCAGGGATGCTCAATGTTTTACAATGCTTGGGGCAGTTCCACACAGCAAGGATCCTGTCCCAAATGCTGATGCCCTTTGACAAACACTGGTGAGTATGTGTGAGATGGGGCCTAGCACAACTGAAATAGCTTTTTAAAACTGAAATTATTTTGCTGTTTTAAAAGCATTATTGAACATAAAATATCCTTTGCCCTTAATTCCCTTTTGGAAAAAAATCACAAACATAAACAAATGATTTACTAGAGCAATTTGGATTACTTAAGATGATTTACGCTCTTTGTCCTGTAGTAGCTGTTTTAACAGCAGAAGGGGGTTGTTTACTGCGTCTACTGGAAGTTTGGCAGGTGAAGAGACAGCTCTTGGTCTAATATAGTATATAAGTTGGCCATATGATTTTTTTTCTTTAAAACATCTTTTTACCTCGATCTAGTACTTTTAAAGAAAATTTCAAGGTGTTTGTACATTTATTCTCACGGTCTACGTGCGATTATACAGTCACCTACTTATTTTGCTGTTAGCACCTTGAGATCGTTTTCCAGTGTCTACCCATCTTTTCAGTACCAAATCCTCTTCTATAGACGATGTGCCAAAAAGGAAGTCTGAGGAGTGGGGCTGGAATGGGGCACAAGGTTTAGAAGGAAGAGGAGGGGTTTTGGAGTAAGTCAGACCTAAGGTAAAATTCCACTTCTAGTACTGCGTGTCATTTGACATAAGCAAGTTGCTAAATCTCTTTGACTTAGTATCTTTATTTGTAAAATGAGAATGATAATATCTTCCTTTAGAAATATTTTGAAGATTAGAGCTACTATATGTCTGACATGGAGTAGGCTCTCCCTAGATGGGTGCTATATCAATAATCAGGATGATGATGATGATGATGAAGAAGAAGAATTCTGTAGCTACTGAACGCTTTGCTAAAAAAAGCAGAGTATGTGAACTTAACCGCTTCGCCACTGGACCAGCCCAGTATAAATTTATTGTCTGTAAAGTACAAAGATTTCTACCTAAGTCTCCAAGTCCTTCTGTTGTAACTGATGGGCTTGGAGATTTAGGTAGAAGAAACAAAAACCTGGATTTTGATCTTCCAGATTCTAGTAGAAGTGCCTTAGGTAACCTGCTCTGCTTTTCTCTGAGGTGTGGCAAGCTATTTTTACTATTATTTCTCACCTTTTAGTCTCTTTCTCTTAAGTCACTTATTCTGTCCTAGTAAATATAAGTGTAGCACTTTATTTTCTATTACATCATGCATATAAAAATGCTTTTAAACCACTTCTTCTTATTCAGTAAATAACTAGTTTAAATAAATATATAAGCTTGTCATTTCATTATTTGTCCTTTTAAATTAATTACTATGGAAATCAGGAAAGTTATATAATCATTTATTAGACAAAACATTGATTTCTTTTTTCTTATCTCTTGCAGGATTTCTGGTAGGTCCTATTTTAGGACGACATGCCGTGCTGTTGAAACACCGATCTGGTTTGATTTACAGACACTTGGCTTTTTAGCTGGGAAGCCCTTTTTTTGCCGGCTTACTGAACTTATGAAAGCATGGCAGAAGGAGATACAGAGTCACCTGGGTCCAAAAAATGTGGCCCCTATATTTCATCTGTCACTAGCCGGAGTGTGAACTTGATGATCCGAGGAGTAGTGTTGTTTTTCATTGGAGTATTTCTTGCATTAGTGTTAAATTTACTTCAGATTCAGAGAAATGTGACGCTCTTTCCACCTGACGTGATTGCAAGCATCTTTTCTTCAGCATGGTGGGTACCCCCGTGCTGTGGCACAGCTTCAGGTATGTGTAGGTTGTTTCCGTAATGCTTAAAAAGGAAATAGGGTAAACTAGTGTGGATGTTCTCTGAGCAATACTTTTTTTAAAAATCAGCTTTATTGAGATATAACTTCAGTACGGTACAATGGACCTGTTTTAAATAAACAGTTTGATGAGTTCAGACAAATGTGTACAGTCATGTAGCCACCACCACAGTCCAGCTGTAGAACATTTCCATCACCCACAGATTCTCTTGTGCTCTCTTGCAGTCTGTTCCCCACTCCCAGCCTCAGGCTTCCACTGATCTTTCTGTCACTAGATTATTTTTGCCTGTTCCAGGATGTAATATAAATGGAATCATAAAGTATGTACTCTTGTGTCTGATTTCTATCTGACCTGTGAACTTTAAAAATTTAATCCTAAAAACAATTCTGATTCCTTTAGGCATGAGGCTTTTAACTTCTTAATTTTGTTCTTTCTTCACCCCATCTCATATAAGTCTTATTTTATTTTGATGAATCACCATCACTGTTTGATTTCAAGGGTTTGATGTGTGTATTATGATCTTGTTTTTGAAGTAGATAAAAACTTGAAAGAATAGTTTTATTCAAGTTTAAAACTTCATGTTGTTATTTTTTTGTATATGCTTTTTTCCTTGGTATCTTGTTTTTAGGTGTACCTTAAGAATAATAAATACTTCAAGAGATCAATAAGGTAGATTCCCTTTGCTTAAAATCATTATCCTATTAGTTACTTGAGATCTTTTTTGGTGGACAGTGTGTAATGGATAAAGTGGAGCATTTCAGAATATCTTGTTGATGCTGAGCTTCCGTAATGGCTAGCTCCTTTAGCTTTTTCTAATGACTGAGACCAATAGGTTTGTATTGTAATATTTTATATAATAAGGTAATAGAAGGAAGCCATAATTATGTGGTAGAAGAGAATTCTGATTGAAGGAGAAAATTGCTTTTTGGAATATCCATTTGGTGTCTCATACTTAACATACATGAGTACCTTACAATATGATGTAGAGCCTTCTTGACTTATATCCTAGAGTTAGAGATTGAAGGGTGAGGAGTTAGGTGTGAGAGTTTTAGAATGACATTGTGAAACCTATTGGACAATTACATAATCTCATTGGATGGATAGAAGGGCATTATTGTGGTAAAGTTCTAGTGTGATTTATATGTTGATGTCTCTATTACAAGATTCACATTAGAAGAAAAGTTGTAAAGGCGATGATTCTTAGTTTCCCCCGGGTTATTACATTCTCCAAGAGAATAGGCAAAATAGTCCAAATAGACAAAGAGAAGAAAGCATAAATTATATTTTATCATTCTCTGTTGTATCTACTAGTCCTCATGTATTTTCCTTTCTTTCCTTTAAATTCAAAAGAGAAAAATAAAGTTTTCTCAGCATCTTTTTCTAGTTCTTTGTTTATTTTCTCCTGTGGTATTGCTGCTGTCTGGCTACTAATAGAAGCTTTTTGGGACTTGGAAGAACATGTGTTTTCAGAAGAGAAAAGGAAGGTCAGGGGAGGGAAACTGTTACTAATTGAATGTCTAGTAATGTGCTAGGCACATCCCTTAACCCCAGGGATCTGCAGGGCCACTTTGGGAGTGAGATGTTTGGGATTGTGCCTGTTTGGGGAGGATGAGGATGTGGAGATGAAGAGAGAATATCAATGAGCCCAGGGTCCCAGAGCCAGTGAATGGTGCTGCGGCTAGGTCAGATATCATATACTGGGGAAGGGGAAACAGAGAGCTACTCACACTTTCAGAGCCTCCAGACTAAGTGCCAGGCTTGGATGAAATATACTGGCATGTGGTGCACATTCTGGGCTGGGGGAGGAGAACTTAACTGAGGTTTCATTGTACCTCTGTTATGGAAAGGAACAGGGGCTGCGTCTGTCCCTGTGATGTGAGCACTTTTGCCACAAACTCACATTTAGGAAGGAAAATTCTGAATGTTAATACTACCTTTTCAGTCACTTTGTCCCTGCTTTCCTTCCTTTTCCCAACCACTAGATTTGTCACACTTACAAAGTTAACCTCATACCTTTTCACCTGGGGGATTTGCATTTACATTTCTTGCTTAAGTGTTTCTTCTAAAAGCAGTACATTCCATGAGGTACCTGGGCAAATGAAAGTAGAGAGGCATTAGGAAATCTAGATTCCAGTTAGTTCTGCTACTCATTTTGTTGGGTAGGTCATGGTGTTTACTAGATGAGGGTGAAGATATCAGATTTGTGAAAGTTGCCAAAAAGGAAAATAGATTCTTGCATAATGGCTGTGTGTCCTCCTTCCCTATTTTAAGGAAAATATCAAGGGGAAAAAAAAGTAAATGATGTAAGAAACGTAGTGTCTACAAATTTGCATGAGTACATAGTATATATATGTTTTTATGTATATGTATGGTATGCATTTTCAAAGTTCTAGGCTCTTACCATATTAAATCAGAAAAACTGATAATTGTCCTTTGATTTTCCTGTCCAACTAATATTCATAGACTGAGCAGCTACCTTCTGGAGGTTCTCCAGAATCACCACATTCTGCGTGTAAAAAGAAGGGCCTCTGGTTATTTGCTCTCTTTCTCCATAATGCATAGTACTGGAAAATTTGCTAGTGGTGCTTCTGGTGGGACAACTAGTAGAGAACTACAGTAAATTTCTTTTGATCCCATTTTCCTTTTCTTAATTCTCTATTTTTAGTGTAATAATGGCTGATGTTTCAGGTTGATGAACTTCTTTATGTGTGCGTCGTGTTAGAGTTAGAAGCCTCTTGAACATGACTGAAGGCCACAAAGGAAGCTTTCTGAAGAATAAGTAGGAGAAAGAAGGACAACTGTCATTGTGTGGATAAAATAACTAGAGAAGTTGACTCAAAAATCACAAGTAACTAGATTGTGTCCATACCTATGAAACTAATATCTAATTTAAAAAGACAAATCTTTCCTATTTAGCCATGCAGTCAATTGCCCAATTCCTGGAGAGCCCTGCAAGACTCCTCCCCATCTCTCTCACCTCCCACATCCAGTTTCCAAGTTTTATATCTTTCTTCTGTCTCTTTCTTGGTCCAGGCCCTCAACCTCTACTTTTATCTTGCTCAGAGTCTTTCTGGACCCTGCAACTCCCTTTCTGCCTAAATCTTACAGTTTCCAGGTGATACTGGTATTTTCTATTGTCCAAGGCTTTTCCTCAAATGATTCCCTTTTATTAGAAAGCCCTTTCTACACCACTCACCTACTGAATGCTCCTGCCTCAAGGGTCACCTCTTCTGTGAAGCTTTCCTGACACCCCAGCACCCTGCCTCCCCTCAGCACGTGCCAGGAGTGGACTGGGCCCCACTGGGCCCTGGCAGTGCTACCCTTAACGTATCACTGTATTTAATTGTTTCTGTGGTCACTTTGGGCCTGGGATCATGTCTTACTCCTTTTTCTTTTTAAATCCCCAGCAAATATCAAGAACCAGTCTCGTAGTGGGAGCTTAAGTATCTGTTGAATGAAGTGTTGCCTAGCCTCTAGTGGTTTCCATGAAAGTATATGTACTTCAGTGGTTTTGTTTTTTCAGCCCCTTTTCCTTGCAAAATGTTTGATTTACTGTTCCTTTCAGTGCATCACTGCATTAAGCACACTACCCTGAAAAAATGATGACTTAATATTGATGTTTTACAAACTTCTTTTGTTTTCGATCTTGGTAGGCTGTAACTAGTCACTGAGAAATAAATATATACCAAGAAATGTGATTTTGCGTCAGAGAACCATCTGATTGAATAGGACTGTGTTTGCATATGATTCTACACAGGCATGATTTTAACAGTCTCTCTTGTTAAAATAAGAAAGTGGAGAAAGGAAGAGAAGCCCGGACGTACTTCTGCTGAGGTCCCAACCAGTGGAGCCTCACCGTGCTGTAGATATTGCTATCAGACTCTGCCATGCCTTTATTTAAAGGGGAGAAAGAAGACATTTAATGGGAAATGACAGGCTTCCTTGAATTCTCCCTCTCAGTGAGCAACTGAGAACCATGCATACTCAATGGATTTGATTTTTATTGGCCAATCCCGAGGTTGGCCGCCTGGCGGTTTAAATTCCTTTCTGTGTTTTTGCTTTCCCTCCTCAATTGTCTCTCACTTGCGAGTCTGACATCACACATGTAAAAATATAGTCAATTTTACTTATTTATATCTTTGCCCACACATGTTAGTATTCTCTATGTGATAATTCTTTACCTATGGCATCAGCTGCTGAGGAAAATTGACTTGGAATGCCTGATCTTAGTTGATTTCACTCAGCAACAGGCAAAGGGAGGAGGGAGAGAGAGAGAGGAAGAGGAGAGAGAGGGGGAGAGAGAGAGAGAGAGGAATGACATGTGAGCTGTTAGTTTCATGACCTCTTGAGGAAAAAAAAAGAAAACTGTTCATTTAGATATATTTCAACTGTTAAGCATACTTGTTGCCATTTTAATTTTGTAGAAATTTGGAAATGCTGTCAGTTAATCTTACAGGACTTTAGAGCAGAGAGTTGTTTTGTTTTTTATTTTTTGCGAGGAAGATTAGCCCTGAACTAATGTCCGATGCCAATCCTCCTCTTTTTGCTGAGGAAGATTGGCCCTGGGCTAACATCCATGCCCATCTTCCTCTACTTTATATGGAACGCCACCACAGCATGGCTCGACAAGCGGTGCGTTGGTGTGCGCCTGGCATCTGAACCTGCAAACCCTGGGCCGCCGAAGCGGAGCGCGTGAAGTTAACCGCTATGCCACCAGGTTGGCCTCCTGAGGCAGAGCCTTTTAAATAGGAATATAACGTAAAACTTTTAAATTTACTAATAGTTGTTGGAGCTCTGCATGACTGAAGTTTGTTGTTAATCTCTTGATGGCCTGGGAACCATCTATACTCAGCAAAAGCCTAACTCGAAAGAGCCCTTTTAGTTTTGTGGATTAGAAAGTGCATCTGTCATTGCAGCAGTTTACCTCTGGATGGAAGGGTGGCCAGGCAGCCTCCTTTTAATGCTGCTCCATTGGTCTACTAGCCAGTGATTTTTGATATTAATTGATTTCCGTTTTTCCTTGAAGATTGAATCCATCCTTTGTGAGATATAGCTAGCTCGTGCCAGGCCAGGCAGGGGTTTCTGATCTTCAGCCACTTAGATTTTGGTACAGTAATTTCATGATACATCATAGGTAGTATTGGACATTTTAAACATGCTTTTCAGATGATGGAACAGTTGTGTCTTTATTACTTAATGGCAGCATAACTGTTTAGTTTTTAGGAAGATTAGCAAATCAAAGCTGCCTAGCTATTTCCTGCATTTTCCTTATAACTTGTTGAAGAATGTTTTGGTTCATTAAGTAGTCTTTTTTTTTTTTAATAAGTAACTTAGCATTTAAAATGCTCTTCCACTAAATGCATAAAATGTTAGGTTTGACAATTATTTAAATTAAAAATTGGGAGAGAATATTTTGAGTATCAATCATAGACATTTTGCATACAGTTATTCGTAATTAATTACACAGCATTCAAGATGTTCTTTCCAGAACTAAGAAATGTACTAAAATGGTTTCTTTTTATCTTTCAATAGTGAATTTAAATTCTAACCAAAAATTTATAACTCTTATAGATTATGTTTCCTCTAGTTTTCCTGTGTGCAGAATAAGTCTTTTACATGTTGATTTCTGTTGCCAGTTTCCCTGCTTTGAAAATATAACCTAGAGTTTCATTAGAGGGCCAAGCGCAAGGGGGTGTCAGCACAAGGTGCTGGACGCAGGAGGGTGAGACAGGCTGGAGGGGCAAGAACAATCTATACAACAGCACAGCCATAGCCCTCTGAACATTGTGTGTATGATGAGCTTGTTGTGCATGTTTATGCTGCTAGCCTTTCTTTAGATTTGTGGCATTTAATAGCATGTTTCATGGTTATATAGCCTAGGGAAAACATTGCTTAACTGCCAACTGGTTCAATGCTTTTTCAAGTTTCAGAGACATTAGTAGTAGAAAAGTAGCATGAGTCATCTAGTCCAATGTGCTAAATAGTGAATCATTCACTGAAATAGTGTTTTGCCTGTTATAATTTAGAATACTGTTGTAATCATTTACAGTGCTTTCTTCAGTGGTTTTATCCTCATCTTTTTTTTCTTTTGGGAGGTAAGTTTAAAAATGTCAGCCATTGATGTTAAGTAACTTGAAGAGCTTTTTTAGAGACTTTCAAACGTTTGTGGTTGTTGTAGTAGGCTCTTTTAGCTTAAGTTTTGCCAGAAGCATTGGAGATGACTTAATTTTTTTCTCTTTTTTTTCACAGCTGTGATTGGGTTATTATACCCCTGCATTGACAGGCATCTAGGAGAACCACATAAATTTAAAAGAGAGTGGTCCAGTGTAATGCGGTGTGTAGCCGTCTTTGTTGGTATAAATCATGCCAGCGCTGTATCCTTTCTGCTGTAATGAAATGCGTGATAACAAAGCAGCTTCCAACAAACCAAAGCTTAAACAGTCCCTTGCAACTTCCCTGTTGTCAAACTGTGATATGCCCTCTTAGTCATTAAAAAGAATGTGCACCATATTGTTGAAACATCACAGCAGCAGCTATGCAATTACAGTGTGGGGTATAGCCCTTCATTTAAATCCCTGTTTTTCGTATTACTTAGAAACTTTGCACGTTTGAAAATTTACATATTTTCTTTAAATTGTGTTACTTAATTACTTCTATATAGTTTTGGTAACTCTAAAATTGAAACAGATACATTTTCAAAGGATTTCTTTCCTCTCTTTTCTGTCCTCATTTAAGATTTGCCAGTCAAGATGTGTGGTGGCTTCAGGTGCTAGTTATTTTGTTAGTTTTTAGTTTGAAGAACCTATAATTTATTTTTAAAAGGCAGACTATCATTTATCGGTTTTAATCAACACCATCAAATCACATAAATGTTCTTAAAGGTGGCATAAGTAGAAATATCCATCTTAGACCTTGGCTGAAAAGAATTGTTTTTCCTAAGGCACATATTTTTAAAGTTTGATCGTTTAAGGATTCTGACATTTTGTTTAGTGATTAATGAGTGTTTTTACAGTGTCCGAGCTAGAAGGGTAAGGTAGTCTCAATTTCCCTTTCCCTTTGCCTTCTACCCACCCCCACCCCCCAGAAAAACATGTCCACCCCCAGAACAAAAGTTTTTGCCCTCATAAGGTTTTCATCCTTCCTCTCTTCTCCCCTACCACTGACTTCCCTTTGTAGAAGGGGATCTGAGAAATGCTAGTTCCCTCTTCTCTTTTCTAGAAGATGTGGCTTAGAGAGTGGAGGTGACAGTAGCCTTTGGTACTGGGTAGAGTAAGAAGTGTGAGTCAGGCTGCCCAAGTTTTCCTCTTGCAACTCTGCACTGGGTTCAGGGCTGGCAATTAGTTGGAGAGAGGGTGGGTCATGTGGCAAGTAGATTCCTGTGTCTTTTACAGAAAATATTGAGATCTTTTGGAGAAGCTTAGGAAGAGGAACCAAGGAGAGTGGCAGAGTCTTAGATTCTGAAAACACATCTGCCTTTCTGTTGCCAATTGTGCTGGCCCTTGGAGATCTGTGAATTTGGAAGTCCCTCAGTGGCTGTTATTATTTTGGTTTTCCATTTCCTTTTGTATTAAAGAATTTCCCAACGTGTATTTTGGTGAAATCTTTGAGATTTAGGATTTTATAACAAACAAATCTAGTGGTTAGGAGGGCTTAAAATAGACTCATAGAATGTTATATCTAGAAGAGGACTTAGAAATCATCTAGTTCCCCATTTTCTTTATAAAGATAATAAGACGGATGAAAGCTAGAGAGGTTAGGGACTTTGCTAAGTTGTTCATACCATGAAGCTGTGACAGAACTGAGACAGACCCCAGAGATCCCGACTCAAGTCTAGGAAAGGCTCATTCCCCTACACAGGAGCCCCACAAGTGTGTAAATTCCTCCCTATCTGGTGGCTTAGACCTTTCTATCCCAGACATTTCAGGTATTTTTAAGTAGAGAAATTTAAATAGTCTCTTGTGGAATTAAAAAAAGTTTATATATCTAATTTAAATTTTTTGCTTTGGTTATTCTTTTCTTTCTTTCTCGATGAAATACTTAAATATTACAATCTTAGCTGTTCTATTCATCCTTTAAACAAAATTCAAAATGTTTACAAAATTTATAACAGACTTAATATTAGGTTATTTAGACTTTAGACAATCACATGGTACTATTTTTAAGATTGATGTATTTTACCTGTTTACTCTAGAAGCCTCCTTATTTTGCTTTGATTGTTAATAAAGTTAATTTAGTTAGCAAAGATAGAACTCAGTTAATATCAAATTCTACTCTTTAGAAGAATGTTTATTTCTTAGAGAAATCAGAGCTTATAACGTTTCCTTTGGTTCTTTAGATATAATGCCTACTAAAGAATAAGAAAAGCTTTTCCAGAAAGCGTACACATAAACTGTAGGTTTTTTTGATAAATCAAGCCTAAACAAGGAATGACTGAGGGAGTGGCCCACAACAGCCCTCAGATGCTGAGAAGTAAGCAGCCTGGGTGTCCAGGATACCAGCTGGTTTGGTGGGGGAGGGGAAATTGTGGTAAACAACTGGGTGTTATAGGAAGTGGGAAATGGTTTTATATGCATGTTTTGAACTTCTGCTCTCTTCTCTGTAGTTACAGCATGGCCAGTTAGTTGGGCGAGATATGTAGTCTCCCCTGGGGGATTAGATATAGAGCCAAGATGTGGCCTTTGGGACATAGATAATGCCCTTTTAATGATACTTGAAATTAATTCATTTATTATAATCCTCTAGCAAAGAAATGAGAAAATTGAATTTGTAAAGCTTCGTTTTGCCCAGAGATTTTGGAGTAGAAAAGGGCTGTATGTTTGTGAATAGGTGCTTAAGTAGGTGACGGAAATAAAATATCATTTGAGCAAACTGTCCTATACCAGAAAGTCTCAGGCACCAAAATAGCTTGGCAGGTTGCAAGATAGTGTTCACTTCAAGGCTTTATCCTCAACAAATTAAAACTAGAACAGTTGACATAATAGAAAGGGATACTGTGTCCTTGGTACTCTTGTTTCTGAACTGCATTATTATAAAATGTGTCTGTCAGTAAATCATATAGAGAATGTGGTACCCTGTTAAATAGCTGTCAACTCTTCTATTTTTAAGTTCCTGTATGATTCTCAAGTAATTCTGAACCTGTTTGAGAAGTAATATTGCTTTCCTTTTTAGCAAAAATGTGTTCTTTTAGCAGTACTTGTGTTCTGAGGCTTCTAGTTACATTTTTAGCAAAGAAAGCATGTCTCAAATAATGGATCTGATCCTATCATTGGGAATGTATATAGCGTGCTATTTTTTTAAGGAATTACAGGTTGGTAGGATCTATTAATGAAATATCATGCCCTCTCTGTATCTTTAGTAAATATCAGAGATAGTTTTAATCCCACCCAGTCTCATACATTGTGTTAAAAGACTGAATGCACCCTAGAATAAGCAGTCAATCCCCTTCTCAACAGTAACATCTCTTATTTTAGAAAAATGAACAGGTGATATTATTTGATTACAAGTTTTAAGATGATTCTTTAACACTGATCTCAGAAAGTGGATTTTGATAACAACATACAGTTGTCTCTCACACTGGCTGCACTATCCATTGGACTGTGGTGGACTTTTGATAGATCTCGAAGTGGTTTTGGCCTTGGGGTAGGAATTGCTTTCTTGGCAACCTTGGTCACTCAACTGCTGGTCTATAATGGTGTTTATCAGTAAGTATTCTTTTTGGTGCTTGTTTGCTAAAATAAATAAATGATTACTGAATTCGGAATTGATATTTTAAAATTGGGTTAGCCACTTTAATCTACAGAGTAACTTATTTCCATTGTAATTATCTTAATAGGTGTCATTGTACTTCCTTTGTGGGTTGTTAAAGACATTTTTATTATTCCAGATATACATCTCCAGATTTTCTCTATGTTCGTTCTTGGTTACCATGTATATTTTTTGCTGGTGGCATAACGATGGGAAACATTGGTCGACAACTGGCAATGGTAAGCTGATGCTTGTTTAATCACTTTTCTGTTACTGAGATGTAAGACAAGTTTTCTCTAAACAGCACTCCTTCTTTAAGGGAAAGCAATTTATAAAGACAGCATTCTTGGATTTCTCTTTTGCAATTCCATTGAAATAAATCATTTGGAAGAATTTAATCACAAGTGTATTAAAAGTTGAGGGAAGCACTGGATAGAAAGCTAAAGTGTGTTATGGATAGGGTGATACGATTTATCCTCCAATTTTTTTTTTTTTTTTAGCTAATCTATAGATTTATACTCCCTCAGAAAGGGACAAATTTAAAAGTGAAAAGAGACACTATTAATAACTATATTGCTACAATAGATATAAATTAGGACTTTCTTTGGCAAATCAAGATGTTTGATCATTTTTGTTAAGAAGGAAAATGGCCTTGTTGATAACCCTGGTCATAGATGACAAGGGTCGGGGAGTAACATTAAGAGGCCACAGCAGTTTCATCAATAGGTCTTGTCACTTTTACCATTTTAGCCAGCTAGGAGAATTGAGTGGTTACATTGCTGTCTGTTTGATTATCTAGCCACCCAGTTATCCTAAGCCCATTGGTTTCCTTTATTTTGAATTGTGGGTGTACATTTTTATTTTTTATTTTGAAGATTCACTTATAATTTAGTAATAACTTTTTTTTTTTTTTTTTTGGTGAGGAAGATCAGCCCTGAGCTAACATCCATTGCCAATCTTCCTCTTTTTGCTGAGGAAGATATTAGCTAGCCCTGAGCTAACATCTGTATCCATCTTCCTCTATTTGGTATATGGGATGCTGCCACGACACATGGTTTGATGAATGGTGTATAGGTCCCCGCCCAGGATCCAAACCCCAGGCTGCCAAAGCAGAGCGTGCGAACTTAACCACTACACCACCAGGCCGCTCCCCGAGTGTACATTTTTATAGCTGTACTTTCAAAATACTGTTTTGACTAGAAGCTTTTGCTAATGTAATAGATTTTTTTCCTTTAAATTGTAAAATGATTTGAAAAAATATTATCTGAATTCACTATATCAGTCCTGTCCTTATGTTCATGACCTTTCCTTTGCTGATCCATCTTACTGAGCACTCAAAGAGAGCTATTTTGCTTCCTTTCATATTCTAGGATTGATCTCAATCATATACTGTTATCCTTTGCTTGTGATGCAGAAACCTCATTTTTCTCCTGCTTTTGGCTATGTCTCTTTCACTTCTAGAATGTGAATTTTCTTTTTCTCTATCATATGTGTCATTTAATCCTAATAGTTGTGTAACTTCAGATTCTTTGAGGAATAAAGTGGGCATATATTAATAAAGTATTAATTTTTAGAGTTTTTTAGTTTATATGGAAATTCCTATTCAAAATAAACCATAATCTATTAACCTTTTAACCTTTTAATTTTTACAGTATGAATGTAAAGTTATTGCAGAAAAATCTCATCAGGAATGAAGAAGGCAAAAATATATCTTTTGTACAGAAAAACAAGATGAAAAGGACATGTAAATGATTTATACCAACAAAACTTAGGACTGTAAAATTGCCAGGATGTTGTTTTTCCCTTGATTGGAGTATGTGTGTATATGTATATACATATATATACATATACACACATATGCACATATATTACTGCAATCTGTGATTGCTTCGTCTGTAAGTCAGTTACAAACCTTTATGTATTTGACTTAAATAACTGTAAAATATATATGCATTACGTTAAAAAACATGTTGATTAATAGATGAAATTTTTAATTTTTTAAACATACCATATATTGTATCACAATGTTGATGTGCCAAAATATTCTGTTATTGTCATGCAGAGTATAAGAATGAACAATTTATAAACTTAGTGGAATAAAATAAGAGGAAAGCCAAAAAAAAAAGCAAATGGAAAGCTGGTATATTCTCTCTTGCTTACTGTTGTGCCTTTTTATTTTTTTAATCACAGCAGTATGAGTTATGTGTGCCGTAATGTGGGGTTAGTTTCTGTTTTAATATTGTCTCAGAGAGCTTTGAGTGCTTTCATATATGATGAAAACGTACTTCTGTAGAACATTTTCAAACTTACATTAATGGAGAGAGTCCAAAAAGTAATTTTCTGTTTTGACAGATTTTACTGAGGTAAAAGTCATGAGAGGGAGAGGTTATCAGCATTAAATTGTTTTGAGTCTAAATCTGCAAGACTGTATATAATTTAACGTAAGGACCATTGGGGAATTTAACTAGAAGAAATATGGTTTAGAAATACAAAATGACCTTCTGCAGTGCCACAAAGTGTTTAGTGATATTAACTGTCTTTTGCAATACAGTATCCCACTGCTTTTGCCCATGGAACACATAAGAAACCCCAAACAGATAAAAATGAAGTTTCTAATTCTCTTAGGTTCTGTTATCTCCTGAGTTCTGTAAAGCAAACCACTTTAGCTGGGCTGGGTCATATGACTGATTGTCAATGGAATGCCATCTGGGGAATGGACGGGCACATAATTTCTTATGTATTCATATACCCATTAGTGAATAGTTCAAGCCTGTTTAAGAATCTATTGAGATGGCATATTGTGCATTTTGAAGATCGTGGTAACACTTTTTTGCATATCTTTCTAACAACTAGAGCCATTTAAGTATGGTTTAAACATATTCTTAGTTAACTTTTTCACCCAATTTTTATTTTTGAAATTGATGGCAATTGTTTGATACACAAGGGTGAAATCGTCTGCTTACTCTGGGTGTATGGTGTGCATGTGTGCTGGATTGAGTGAGAGAGAGAATGTATATGTATTTATGTATGTGCATGTGCCCATGCTCTCTTAATATGTCAAGTAGATACTTTTTAATGTTTGGTTTTAAAACCATTGCTGTCAGACTGAGATCTTATATGCCAAACTTGAATCTGTTTTTATGTTTTAAGGCTGAAAGTGTGAAAATCCTAAGAGGATTTCATATTGAATATATGTATACAATCTTAACTATAGTGGTGGTAAACATACTACTATAATTTATTATTCTATCTTCCAGATAATATTATTCATTTAAAACAAATAAGGTATATTTTTAGAATCAACTTTGTAAGCACTATAAATCTTTAATAAGTTATAAGATCTATGATGTGTCACTTTGAAAATTGCTGTTAAAAGCAAGATGCATTAAATATATAATTATCTTCTTGGTTAAGAGTCTTTTTTCCTTCCTCATGGTAAATCTTAGAATATAATACTGAGAGTTAATTTAATAAAATTAATATATATGGTTGAATTTACTACAAAATAATGAAAGAGAACTAAGTTTAATATTTCAGGAATTGAATGATTGTCATTTTGGAGTTCTTAAACTATTTTCATATCATCTAGAAAACAAGAAAAGATATTTATGGCAAAAAATATAATTGATATTTTGATAAGTATGTAAATATATTACAATGGAAGAAAGTGGTAAACATCTTTTAACATTGGTATATTGGCAGTGCTTCCTTGCTCTTATTATTTAAAATTATAGAAATTGAACAGTTGAAAACTGACCCTAAATTCTACAAAAGCACAAGAAAACAATTAAAATTAACTAACGAGAACCCTGCTAATACTTTTGTTATAAAATTTGTTTGCACTGAAATATTTTACCGTCATTTAAGTCGTTGGAACCTCTCAGTACATTCACACATCTTGTGTTTTCTAGGTGCAAACTAGACTTGGTCAATATCATTCAATACCTCTTTAATCTTCTTGGCTCACTTACCTACATAATTAAGTATATTCTTTGTAAGGTAATTCTTCTAGTGATGGTCTTTGAATAGTAAAGTCTTAGTTTTGTGTGTCTGAAAAAGTCTATTTCATTCCTGAAGAACAGTTTAGCAGGACATAGAATTCTAGGTTCACAGTTTTCCCCCTGCTCCTATCACTTTCATTGTCTTATGTCATCTAACGTTGCATACGGCAAGTCTGCTTTTGTGTAATTTTCTTTCCTTTGTAGACAATCTTGTCTTTTCTCTCCAGGAGCTTTTAGATGATTTTTCTCTTTATCCTCAAGGTTATTCAGTTTCACTTTGACTCATTTAGTTTTAGATTTGTTTTTATTTATTTATTTTTGCTTGGTATTGAGTATGCACTTTCAATCTGTGGGCTCATTTCTTCAATTCTGGAAAAAAATTTAAATCTGGCTGCATATTGGAGTCATATAGGGACTTGTAAAAATATGCTGATGCCCGGCTCTCACCCCCAGAGACTTTAATATAATTGGTCTGAGGTGTGCCCTGAGCATTAGGGTTTTCATAAGTTCCCCAGGTGATTCTAACGTGTCCCCAGGTTGCCGCTCACTGGATACCTGTAGATACATGTAAGACAAGGGGAGGATCCAAGTGAGAGAGATGTGGTGACTTTGGAAATGAAGAGTGAGGGACATGTTGAGATGCATTTTGGATGAAATCATCTGAACTTGGTGACTTGAGTGTGAAGGTTAAGGAAGAGGAATTGTCAAAGGTGACTTAATTTTTCTTTCTTGGAAAGCTAGGTGGATGGTATTTCTATAAACCAAAAGAGGAATGCAAAGAAGTAGGTGAATGGGTAAAAGTTAAGCAGTTTAGTTTGATATTTTGAGGTTGAGGTATGTAGGTGACATCTGGTAAAGATGAGTCATAAGCAGTTTGATATTTGATTCTGTGACATTAGATGTAAATGAGGGAGTCATCAGCATATGGCAGTAATAAATGAAGCTGTGGGAGTGGATGAGGTCACCTAGGGAGCTTGTTACGGTAAAAAGAAGAGATCTGAGGCATACTGGCATGTTGGCAGAGAAGCTGGTGAAGGAAGTGAAGAGGGTGTGGTTAGAAGTAGGAGGAAAAACAGAAGAGTGATGTGGATGAAGCCAAAGCTGGAGGGAGTTTCAGGCAGTGGGTAACTGGTAGCATGCAGTACAGTTGGAAAGAATAATTAACCTTAGAGATAAAGGAGATGATATCTGATTGTTTTATGTTGAAAAGTGCTTTTTCTAACCTATTTTATCTTAATATTTAAAATATTTAATTGTATACTAATAGGTCACAAAATATATTTGAGAAAAGCCTGATCATATACTAAGTGAGTGAGAGGAGCTAGGGGAAGCTAGAGAACTTTGAAAGAATGGTGATTTGGACAGCGTCTATGAAGAATGGACACAGGCACTGACTAGAGATGAAGAAAGAATTTCCAGACAGTTCTGAGGCCACCAAGGACCTAGGTGAAACTGAAGATCAGATACTTGCAGTGGAGCCAGTCGACATGGCTGTGCTATGTCTGAGTGGACTCAATAGCTCAGGAGTTGAGGTCAGTTGTGATGAGAGGATTGATTCCAGTTGGGAATTCATTGGTAGACATGGCTATGTGAAAATTAATGGAGGCTCCTAATGAAAGATCAAGAGATTTGTCATGGGATACAGACAAATTGGGGAAGGAATTTGAATCAGCAGTGCTGACCTGACAGCATGAAAGCATAGGGTGTAGTAAGAAGACCACAAGTCTTAAGGAGGTTGAAACCCCTGTTTAACGAGAAGGGTGATAGGCTTGAGCTTTGTAGTCAGAGAAGAATTCAGTGGAACATATCCAGATCTTGAGGTCCAGGGGGTAATGTAAACAACTGTGTCTACAAAGTTCACCACAGTGGGTGGAGGTGAATAATAGTGGAGTGGAGATCCAAGGCCTGGGTGAGCAGCTGTTAGCATCAGTATTGATGTTACCTGGAATGATCTCGGAGGTCAGGTGGAAAGGAGGGGTCTTATCTGTAGTCCTTATGACCATTTGAGTGGAATACTTATCCAGATGCCTTGAATGGATGCGGATTTTAGAGTCCTCTTCCTCTATTTATTATTATTATTTATTATCTATTTATCTACTCCCCTTTCCTCTATTTATTTATTTTTAGTTTGTTTCATTGTCCTAGGTGTTCTGAAATTTCACCACAGGGTGTTTTAGAGTGGGTCTTTTTCTGTTAATCCTGTTCAATCAGAGATATCTCTTTAATTCTGGGCAATTTTTTCTGCTTTTGCTCTTATTATTCCTTTGTTCACCTTCTCTATTCTAAAATTGCTATGTTCAAGAGATCTTTGACCTGTTGTTTCTATATATCCTTTAGCTTTTTCTCTGTTGTGCTATGTTCTGGAAGAATTACTTAACTGGATCTTCTGGCTCAGTGAATCGCTCTTCAGCTGTATCTATTCAGTGTTCAGCCCAACACTTGATTTTTAATTTCAGTGATCACAATTTTAATTTCCAAGATCTCTGTTTTTTGTGTGTGTGGAAATGTGTTGTCATTTTTTTATTTTCTGAGGATATTAATTACTGTTCTTCTGAAGTTCTAAACTCTTCTGAAGAGCTATTTTGCAGAGAAGGGCAGGATGAGCCTATACCAGCCTGTCTCTGGATGTGAGCACTCCTCCCTGTTTGTGTTGGGCGAGCTGTCATGCCTCTCTGAACTTAGTCTTCACTCTTACCACTTGCGTCTAGGGGCAGATACTGTGTTGTCTCTGCCCAGTTCAAGGTGGATGAGTAGAAGTATGGAGGAGATGGCCAGATGGCTGCTTCCACAAGAGCCTACTCAAACCCATCCAGTCAGTTGCCTTAGGTATTTCCATCAGCCACATCTGAGCTTAGAATGTCCCTGGTTTAATTTTTAGCAAGTCTTCTCCTTGAGTGTTTTGAGCCGAGGTTTCTCTCCATCTGTCTACTCTCAGTTGTTTTCTTGCTTTGGGGATTCCTAGTAGTGTCTGGTCCATGGAGGATACTTCTCCTTATTTGTCAGTATAGTTGTGGATTCCTTTTCTTCTTAAAAATCTTTTTCTTGTTATTATTTCTATGGATTTGGGATAGGAGGGAGAAGCTACAGCTTGACTAGTCTGCCATCCTAATTCAACCTTTCCCTACTATTTTTTTATACATCTGCCTGATCATTTGTTTTTACATTTCAAAAACTCAATTTAGTTGGGAGCTGAGATAAATAGGGTAAGTCAGTGGTTTCTTACTGGGTCTTAGCAAATTGGGGTATGGAGATTTTTTTTCCCTCTTGAAATACATTGAGTTCATTCTGCCAGGAAGTGTAAGTATACTAGTATCTGTTCCTTTGTGCCTCCCTTCTTTTTATCACTGATGAAATCTGTGAAACCTGTCACCTTTCCTTGTGATTTACAAGACAGACTTTTCCAGGGTATGGCAACTGTCCTCAAGACAATGTTGTTAAGTATCAGATTTGGCAGATCAGATAGATAATGATGTGCCTGGGAAAGACTGGGCTATTGATGAGCCTCGTGTCAAAACTGATTGCCATATGTGGGCAATTTTTCCCTTTCGCCTTTGCCCTGGTTGTGGTCTCTGTGAGGATTTTGATGAACAAGGGGCAGTTTTGATTCTGAATCAAAATTGTGTGCTGGTGCAACTGTGTCCGTCTATTCTGTGGTCTCATGGCAGGATTTGTAACCACTAATCATTCTATGGCTTCCCCAGAGGTGGGCTTTAAAAGTAATGAGCAGTTAGGAAATGTATTGCCATTTAAAAGTAATCCTTTTTTATTACTGTTCTGAAAACAATAAATTCACTCAGTACCACCATGTTTCCATGAGATTGTTTCGTTTGCAAGATTTGTTTCTCTTTTAGAAACACTTTTGGAAACTTGTACAGAATATGATCTTGGGAAGATTCATTGTGATGAGCAATTGAGCAGACAAAGAAAAGAAAGAACCCAAGTGCTGAATCTCTTTGTTTTACATGAGTTTCTAAAATGCATTCCCTGGGAGTTTTTGCCATTGAATGAAACTCATTTCTATTCCCTTTATAGTCATCACATGTCACTCCTAGATCTTCTGGGAATGTCTGCTCAACCAAAGTATGACACTGGCAGTCCTGTTTTGAAACAGTTCTTTCTGCTTTTACAAAAGCCTGAGATTTTTCAGCAGGACATTAAAGAAAGACAAAGTGCTACCCCATCACCTTAGGATCAGCTGGATGCAGCTGCTGTGCACAGTCTGTACACACTGGGCTTGGGAAGCCTGCAGACTGACAAATTGAAGATGAAATTTAAAGATGTAAAGGCAGATCTTTGTGGAATTTTCTATGCCTCAGACCTAGTGTGTATCAATATCATGCCTGTCCAAGAGAAAGCAAGTCAGTATACGTTGAAGCAGATCTTTCCAGAATATACGTAAAATTCTCAATAAAGTTGAGTCAGGTTCAGCTTTTTTCCATAAAAACTAAATTAGCCTTAAATGTTTGTTAGGATTAGTTCTGGACCTACAGCCCCGACTAACTGCAAGGGGGCCGGGATGTGTAATCCCTCCCCTGAGGGGCGGGAGAACCAAATATGGGCCGTCACTGGTAGTGCCCACCGCAGTTGGTGTAAAGCGCTTTGTAGCGCTCTCTTCCCATTAGAATATTTTCCTTCCTAAGTGATTCATAGAGAACGCAACTATAAGAAAATAAAATATATTTTTTGGTGGTAAAATTAAAATTATGGTCTTTACATAAAATATAAACTTTGTATCCGAGTCCTGGAATGGTGGGAAAGAAAGAAGGAAGAGTTCGTTTTTGTCCTGTCCTGTCATCTGAAAGAAGTGTTGCCTTTGTGCTTGCTACGAACGTCCCCACTGCACCCCTGCAGATACTGACTGTTTTATGGCTGCCAGCGTCCACGTTTTTCTGAATGGCACAACAGGGTTTCAAACTCTGGCTGACTTTGCTCCAGCGACCGAGGATTCTCCTCCACCACACTGTACTGTTCCTGTGAGTCCCTGCAAGTCATTTTGCATGTGCATTTCCAGCAGATTTCTAAAGCCATCACTTACAGTAAGTGACTTGGCACTGGAGGCATTGCCGACACGAAAGCAACCTTGACTTCACAGACATATATTATGTTTAATATGGTACTCCACTCTGGAATCTGGGTTCTTTAGGAAGTTAATATAAGCATTCTCAGAAAGCCTAACAACTGCAGCTTTTGGTGAATGCCTACACTGGGACCTTAAGCCTCTCTCCGTAAGCCTCTCTGCAGCCTCCGTAGGCACAGTCCCATATGGAAATCTGACAGAACGGAAAGGAGATAAATTATTTTTAACAGGTTTTGACTTCTGACCTTTTAAAAAGTTCAGTCTGAGAGAAGTCTGTGTGAATTATTGTGCTGGGTGGTGTACTTTTTGATGTGCCCCATAATGCATAAGTACTGGCTGGCCTTGTGCGACTCAGGCAAATGGGTTGTACAAATGGTAAGTTCTGTAAGAGTAAGAACAAGGTGTTAACACACTGGTCCGGAAAGGCCTCTGAAAGTTGGGGACGCAGGTACTGATGAGGTTTGACGGAAGGGTCAAACTCAGCTCGAGTTGGGGAGGGCATCTCTCCTTGGCACGGAGTGGACAGGAAGACAACATGGACAGACAGGTGAATGTACTCCGAAGAATCCAAAGTCCAATCTGAAAGTAGTAAAGATTGCAGCTAAAGGGAGTGGTGGGAGGTGGGAATTAAAACCTAGGGATTGGCCTCTCTTTGGGGATTTAAATGGCTCCCATAAAGCCTATAAGCAGGGCATGCTTCTGTTTAGGCGAGGTCCACAGCTGCCCATGGGGGTGACTTCTAGGAGGCCTACAAGCTGAGACTGCCCCATCTACCACAGTTTGTAGCATTCCCATTATTAATCAATCAACATCGTTATCAGACTTTTATTGAACAAGAATGTTCTGAGGCTGATCAAGGTGTGATCCTGAGGTTTGGCAGAGAGAGGAAAGAGTCAGCCTTGGGAATCAGACAAATCCAGGCTTGAACACCAGCTGAGTTACAGTCAGGGACCCTGGGCGAGTCCCCCAAGCTTTCTAAAGCTAAATTTTCTTATCTGTTAAGTGGAGATACACCACCACCTTCCTTTGAGGGCTGTAAACATTAAATGCAATAATATGTAAAAATTTAATGTAAATTAAACATTAGTTCCTTTCCTTTTCCCTTCTATTTATTCACTAGGAAGGAGGGCAGAAAGCTGGCTAGTATGGGTACTAAGCCCACACGTCAGCATTTCTTTTACATTAGGATACTTCCCTAATGTTTCTGTCAAAACAAAAGGAAGCATAATGCAGGACTCCACTATGCCCGCTGACCACCTTCCACAGCTTCACTCATCAGGTTAGTTACAGGGAGCAGCTTCCTAAGGAAGGAGGGCAGAAAGCTGGCTAGTTGTTATTAGATTGAGTAATCGATTGTTGGGCTAGAGGTTTGGTCAGGTTAGACAGGGGGTGTTATCCTGGGAAGGAAGCTCAGATGAGGTGCCACAGGATGGCATGAGGACACCACAGGGAAGGAAGGATGTAGGAGATAGGAGATAGGTTTTGTCAGCATCTTATTTTTACCAAGGGATGATGGCTCTGTCCTCATACTTTACAGTGTCACCACTGTGAGACTGCAGTTGCCCGAAGAAGAAGTTACATTTTAATTAGCTGCAAGTTACCCGATTTCTGATGTTTCAGTCCTTTTCTCCAGGCCTCATCGTTTCGGATTATTTTTGCCCATGTCCGCCACTTGCCTACTCCTTTCATGTGTATGAGAAGGAAACCACCAAGCAGCCTGGGAATCCTATTACCAGACCTCGGGATATTAATTGTCGACTTCTCCCCCACGGTTACGCAAGTGCTGAAAAAGTTCTCTTTCAATAGTGTCTTGTCAAAACGCCAGGCACAGTTTGTTTTTGACATTTGCTGCTACTGTTAAATAATAGTCTTGCTTCTGTCATAGCTAATGTTGACTTGAAGGCATTTGGAGGGCATTTCTCAACTTCAGCCTTAACAGGGAGACCTGGGTCTTGACAGATATTTTTTCTTGCTTGCCCAAGGCAGCTGAATGTAAGCGTTCCAACCTTTGCTTTTCTAAGCTCAAGAAAATTTCAATCGGGCACACACCACTTAAAACTTTAGATCTAACTGTGCACATGCGCATGTACTTACAGACATAAAGATACACACACGTGTACAAGTTGGAGTTCTTGAAGTTTTGCCATCCTAGGAATAACATTTGCATTAATTAAATAGTATCCCATTGAAGGACCCCTTAAATCGGGGCTGTTCTGCCTTGGTAAACCTTTATCTGTTAGAATGTCATACTTAATTACAGGTCTCTTTAAAATTAATAAGCAGATTTATTGTTTCTGTACTTGCAATGGAGCAAGCCCCTGAGAACTGCCCAGCTAGCAGCGTGCACCAAGTGCCATCTGTCAGAGAGAATCTGGGCTCTTCACACACAACACTTTCTTCTGTTGCTGTGTCCATTCAAAATTTAATTTATGTGCCTCTTTCCCACTTTTGTAAGAAGTCATCTTTTGAATTTTTATTCCAATGTTTTATAGATGAATGTGTAGAGACCTCCTTTTAATGGAATCATAATTTCTGAAATGTTCACCATTTGTGAGGTAATGGAGGGGAAGGTAAGAAAAGAAATGGAGCCAAGCAAGTGAGAACTGTACAAAAATTCTGTGGAACTGCATAGGAGTTGGCATCATTTGTATATGACGGGGCCAAGAAATGCGCAGTTGGTTTCAAAATAAATACCAAAGGAATGGTTAATTAGACAAGTCTATTTTGCAATTTCAGAAAAATAGAAGTATACCAGTCATTAGGATTTCCAGGAACTAAGGCAACTGGGTTTGGAGCTTTATATCTGGAGCAGAAGGTTGTGAACCTAATGGATAAGTGTCCATCAGACCCTGCAACACACTTTCCTTTGACTACACCTATGTCATAAAATTCATCTTCAAATTTTGAGAAATAATTTTTAGATACTTCCAAATTTATAAAATCTGAGCATATGAATTATTCTATCACCTCTCACTCACTCACTCTCTCTTTCCTTTTATCCTGAGGCTGTACTTGTTTGGGAGACTAGTTTTAGATGACAGGAAAACTATCTTCTCTGGGAGGAATGCAGATTCATTTAAAATCAAAATGTAATTATCCTATGATGATTCATAGCCACTTAACTGAATTATAAGATTCGCAGAGAAGAATGGTAGAGCTGGAAGGGACCCTAAAATTCATCTAGGATGGTCCAATCTTGTCGTTTTACAAATGCAGAAGCAAAACTCACATTGGTCAATTACTTGTCCCAAGTCACACAGCCAATTAGGGACAGAATGAGACCTTTTAGTAGCTTTAACAGGGCATTAAAATTTCAATTCTTAAAAAATGTAGATTTAATTTTATGGCTATGCAAGATTTATGGCAATGTTGACAACTGGTAGGAAATGGACATTCATGAATTATGAGTGTTTCTATTACGAAGGGCAATTATTTGTTACCTTAAGCAATAGCTGGTAAATAACATTGAGTATTTATTATATGCTGTTACATATACCATCTCATTTACTCCATTAAGGTAAATATTACTATTTATAAAGGTATAAAGTCAGTCCTTTGTATGTGAGGAAACAGAGGCTTAGGGATGGTACATAACCTGCCAGCGTCACACAAGCAGACTGTACCCCTCAGGTGGAGCCCAGGCCTCATTCTTCCCAGGCTGTGTCTGCCCTGCCTGTGATGTCAGCACAGGAATGTGTTGGTGGAACCTGCTTTGTTCCTATGAAATGTTAGACGCAGAACTTAAACATATGTGTGAAAGTCATGCCCTTGCACTTCCTAAATAATTTTAAATTTTAATTGGAGCAATGAATAACTTCACCAGTACAATCCTTGGCTAAGAAATGGGCTTTGAACCTGAGATTTATTATTTCGTGATGAAACAAGTTGGATGTCTTGAAAGAAGAGGTGTGGGAAAAGATTATTTGCATCATGACTTATTAATGTGGAGATATTTTTAAATCAAGGAATTGGATTAAATATTCTCATAATGAAGAAATAGGATGTAAAGCACTTCTTACCAGATACATTTTCATTTATGACTTAAATTTGAATCTCTGAGCCACTGTATTGTCTTCACTTTGAAAATTAAAGTTGGCATACTGAAAACATTTTAAATGTTGGCATGTCCACAAGAGAATAACAAATAAATGGACCATCATTTTCTAAATTTACATTAGACTTGCATATGAAAAAACATCACAAGCATTATTTATGAAGTTGAAAGTAATTTCTGCATATTATCCCTTATATTTTGACATTCATGACCTTAATGAAGACAGGACAGAAAAAATATGATTAGGCTAGTTGTCAGATCAAGGACTCTAATTAATGAATATAAATGCAAGAGGTTAATTATTTCCTCTCTCTGTCCTAGCTTTAGCTCTGAAAATGACAGTCCTACATACCACTTTAAACTCTACTCCTGCCCTAGCACGCCCTTCCTAACTAAGCCAATCAGGAAACTAGAGCCACAAGGTCATGTCAAGGAATGGGGTCTGCTCAGTGGAAATCCAGGGCTGACGGCTCTATCAATTGGGACTTTTGGGATTATGCATTGCAGAAAACCAGATTCAAAATGACATAAGCGAGAAAGAAAGTTATTGGCTCATGGAACTGAAAAAAGCAGGACTGGCTTCACCTCTAGCTGGGGTTCACCTTTCCAAAACTGCCATCAGGACTCAGCTTCTTTCCATCCCTTCGCTCTATCGTTGTGTTGGCCTTACTCTTGGGCTTCACAGAGGCAGTCTGGCATTGGCAGCTCCACCATTATGTCCTCTCCCATTCACGTCCCATCTCTCAGAAGCCTCTGCAAAAGTCTCATCATATCTTATTGGCTCTGGTCAGGTCAGGTGTTCATTGCCAAACCAATCCCCATGGCTGGTTCTGAACAGAGAAAATGGAATATGATGAGAAAAATAAGGGTAAATGTAAGAAAAATAGGTGTCCTGTATCAGAGCCAAAAAGTCATAATGAAGTGGAAGCTGCAAAACAAGAGAGAGGAGATAATTGCAGAGGGAAACAGACAATAGACAATGAGAAAGGGGACAGAGACAGGAAAACCATCTGATGTCTTTCTACTTTCCATGAAACTGACACTTTCCTTCCAATAAACCCTTTACAAAAGGATTTAAATTGAGTGGTTTTCTGTTCTTTATAACTAAATGACCATGACTAAGAGAGTGTGCTAGTGTTCTCTTGACTGATTGAAGCAGGATTCCGGGTAATATGTAAGATCTCGATGCCCTACAGATAACTTGTAGCCCTCAGTGGGAAGAAAAACCTGCCTACCAAACAGATCACCCAAAGACTGGAGCAATTAGATGTATGGTTTGAGTGAAACATCTTGGAGGCCCCCATGAAACCTGAGGTTCTGAGGTTCCCTGGTCCTCAGAAAATACCTACAAAGTTTCACGAAAAACTCACGTTTTTTCAACCCTTTTCCCACTTTTACCAGATACGTTTTCATTTATGACTTAAATTTGAACCAAGTAAGAAAGTTCCCAGCTCACCTTTCTCACCTTGTGTAACAGAGGAGGCCCTGATAACCTATGTGGTTAAGCATGAATTGGCCACCCTTCCTTTTAAATAGGTTCTTGTTTTGCAAATAAGAACATTTAGGTCAATGGGACTGGAGACACCATTGAAGCAATTCCCTCGAATCTGAGCTAGATCACAACTAAACAATTTCAGTCTCTTGGTTGAAGTGAAAAACTAGGAAAACTGGGAGAGAAGAGTCTAGAACCTCTCCAAGAAATCCATCCCAAATTTTCAGCTGCTCTAATCTTCATTTGGCATTTACCAAATACGAGGTTTGAAGGCTTGGAAGATCAATTTGCTCTTTAAGATAACAGGAACACGTTTTATCCGGTTTCTGCTGTAGAAACTAGTTTACTGCAGGGCCCAAACTGGGCAGGTTGTCAGACGACCTTTGAACAAATCTTTTTATGATGTCATAAGTTGAGTGAAAGATCACAGTTTCTGTTCTCATTCTTCACAGGGATTCTGTACAACCAGGACAGGTTTCCGGGATCCTATCCTGCTGGCTCATCATGAATGAATCCAATTGGAACACCACCAGCCTCAGCATCAGAATCAGGTTCCCTAACCTGAGGTTTTGAAAGCCCCTGTGTGCGGATTTGTACAGGAAGACCACCTCTATTTGGCTTAGGTCCCTGCCCTAGCCAGCTAAACAACTTTGATTTTTGGAAAGCCAAATAATTCCACTGGGATAGGATATCTTTACAATTTCAGAATGAAATTCTCTTATCTTGCCAAAACTATGTCCTTTGACAGTAAAGTTGGTGCATGGGTCAGTCTCCCCCCAAATGTCATAAACTGCTTTCTCTTTTCATAATTACTGGAATAAGTATGGAGTAGAGAAAGAAAAATCTCACCATCTGAAGCCAAGATATATAGGGAGATGTTAGATCCCTTTTGGCAACAGAGAAAGGCTCTGAGAGCTGGACTTGGAGATAAATACAAGAAACTCACCCCTTTATGTGCTATTTTTTAATGATCATCCTATCCCCCGAGCGTGGGTTGGTATTCTTTTCCATTGGGTATATTTAGTTCCTAATTGTTCTAGGAAAGTGCCTGTTTCCAAGCCCGACACCTACAATCCATAAACAAAGAGTGAGTGTCATGTGCCTGAGAATTGAAGAGTACGGGAGATGCCCATTAAAAATACAAGTCGTTCTACCTAGAAGGATTTATCCCTTGTAGAATTTTAGTTTTTTTGTTATTATATATATGCTAATTATATTAAAAGTGTATTTATTCCATAGCCGAGTGATTTGTTCAGGAAACAAAAAGTATATGTTATTTAGGTAGCATTAGATTAAAACATCTTTGCGTCTCCTACGGTGTTAGCCCTGCAGCCCTGTGAGGTGAGGCTGGCAGAGGTTGCTATTAAATGATTAGCTCATATCATCCAGCAAATTATAACCTGTTTCTATTACAAAATACTGTTTCCATGCATAGTGAGGGGCAGTGCTGTATGGTGGGAAGGCTCTGGATGAAGGTCCAAATACTAGGGATCTAGTTTTAGCTCTGCTGGTAGCTTGCTGGCTGACTCGGCAACTTCGAATCTCTGTTTCATCACCCGTAAAATGGAGCCACTAGATGAGCTGGCTCTAAAAGAGGCAACAGAGCACAGCAACTAAGGTTGAGGTCCTGGCTCTGCCACTCACTAGCAGTTTGAACTTGGGCAAGTTATTTTATCTCCACTTGCCGTGTTGTTGTTTTTAATCTGTAAAATGAGAATATCACGAGTTGATGTGAGGATTAAATAACTTAAGACATACAAAGTGCCTAGAAGAGAGCTTGGCTCATAGTAAGTGTTCAAATGCTATTATTGGCAACGTTACCATCTAAAATCCCTCCAAGCCGTGAAAGGACCTTGTCCTATCCACCAAGTAAATATACAAGGAGGAGTGGATTTTCCAACTTGGTTTGAGAGACAAAATCTATGTACGAAAAAATTAGAAAACAATACAAAATTACCCGATTAAATGAAAAGTTAATTCTTCTTTCTTTCAAGTAATACCAACAGAAATTATAAAATAAGGACCTTGGTCAATTTTGGGGGGCCCTTTTCTTTATGGCAAGAGTGATTTTGGTGGGAGATGATGTAACAGACATCTCCTATAGACCTTATGATGTCTCCACACCCCAGTTTCCCCCCGAAACTGGCTCTTCCGCAGCCTTCCCACATCTCAGGAAATAGCAACACATCATTTCAGATCAGTTGGATCCAAAATGAATAAGGATACAAACGACCTAAGCAACATAATGATAAAGGTAGATGTGATGAATATGTATCAAACTCTCTATCCTGAAAGTAGGGAGGTATTTTTTTTTTTAATTTTTTGTTTATTGCAGTAACATTGGTTTATAACATTGTAAAAATTTCAGGTGTACATCATTGTACTTCTATTTCTGCATAG